TCAGGGCTGGATTATGGAATTTAATCTTAAAAATTCTCAAGACCCTCATGGACAATGAGACTTAGTTAAAATTCAAAACATTCATGAGTAACAAGATCTAGCTAGGCTTTACGTTGAGGAAATATAAGTTTGGCTTCGAAGTTTCCATGCTTAGGATAAGATTCAATTTGAAATTTTTAGGACCCTCCTGAATAATGGGACTTAGTTTAATACCTCCCTTAGATGCTAAGATTTAGCATAAATTTCACCATTAGGAAGTTGAATTTAGCTCTGAAATTTTCACCTTCAAGATGAGATTTGATTTTAAATTTCAGGACCCTCCTGGATAATGGGATTTAGTTTTTAAGTTTTCAGGACCCTCCTGGATAATGGGATTTAGTTTTAAGGTCTTCATAGATAATACGATTTAGCGGAAGTCGTACCTTTAAGAAATATAACTTAGATTTAAAACTGTCATATAACTAGGAGTTTTTAAGATCCTCCTGGATAATGGGATCTAGCTTTTAAAATTCTTTGAGATTTTCTGGTAACATAATTCAATTAACACTCACAGATGCGCCCACCACCAAACTAGGGCAGAAGTTTTCTTTGTTTTGTTTATTTTGTGGAAATCAGGCGCCCACCTAGAGAACAAGGGAATACATTTTTCAAGTTCAGTAATCAGGTGCCCACCTGGAGAACAAGGGAATACATTTTTCAAGTTTAGTAATCAGGCGCCCACCTGGAGAACAAGGGAATACATTTCAAGTTTTGGTAATCAGGCGCCCACCTGAAGAACAAGGAATACATTTTAAGTTTCAGCAATCAGGCGCCCACCTGGAGAACAAGGGAATACATTTCAAAGTTCAGCAATCAGGCTCCCACCTGGAGAACAAGGGAATACATTTCAAGTTTAGCAATCAGGCGCCCATCTGGAAAATAAGGGAGTATAGTTCAAGTTTCAGTTTTTAAGTTCTTACTGATATTTGGTAGCATGCCAAACTGGGGCAGAAGTTTTTATTTATTTTTGTCTATTTTGTTAAAATTAGGAACCCACTTGGAGAACAAGGGAATACATTTCAAGTTCACCAATCAGGCTCCCACTTGGAGAACAAGAGAATACATTCAAGTTTCAGCAATCAGGAGCCTACCTGGAGAACAAGGGAATACAGTCAAGTTCAGCAATCAGGAGCCCACCTGGAGAGCGCGGGAATACAATTCAAGTTCATACAGTCAGGCATCCACCAGGAGAAAGGGAAAGCATCTCAGATTACAATTCAAGTCAGCAACAAAAGAAGCTCGCAGCAAAAATGCGAGTCAACAGTCCGAGGTGATCAACAGAAGTTAGTCACAATAAAGAAAAAGGAGAAGGGCAAGAAGTTAATCCAAATGCAGAAGTTTATGGAAGATGTGAGCTTCTTAGGACATGGTTGAGGTCACAAGCACTACATGGCCGGTCTTGATCCGAAAATCTGAAGAAGGACGAGCCAGCACCTGCAACTAGCAAGCGTCAAGGTTGAAATCCAAAGTCTGCATGAAGAACCATTCAAGACTCAAGATCAAGCTTTAGAAGACTTATAGACAGGAATCTTGTAACTCGTAGTTGACAGGCTTAGCTAGTCTTTTTATCTTTTGATTTTTGATGAAATAACAGGACCGCAGACCGGAACCTCGGCGGAACGGCACCTCGACCGGCTCTTCACCTTGGCATACTCCGTTATCTCACTCATCTCTGAACTACATGTGGCCTGATTCCTTTATAGCCAAGGATATGCAGGTAGCTCAAATACCAAAGCTCGGTCACATTTCCCTTTTCTCTTAGTTTTAGTTTCTTTAAATAAGGGTCAGGTCAAAATACTTGTCTAGTCGTTCTTTGTCCGAAAACGCTTCGCATTTCCAGTCAAAGAGGGACAACTGTAGACATGTGATTTTTGACCCACCCCAAGATTTTTTATATTTTAGCATGTAAATATTTAATTTAGGCCTAATATAGCTATTTCAACTATTTTTGACTTCTTTACTTTATTTTCGTCATAAAAATGGAAAATTACAAAAAAAATAGAAAAAAAATAAATACAAAAATAGTACCTTATTTTTATCTTTGTATAATTTTGAAAATACAAAAAATATATAATAGTTTCATGTTAGCTTTTGCATTGTGTAGTATTTTTATCTTATTTTAAAATGAGTCAATTAAGGTGTGAGTTCACAATTTTAAGAGTTTTTGGAGCCCAATTCTTGGCCCAATTCGGATTAGTCCATTAAGTCTAGGGACCCTTCTAGACTCTTCTTTGGAACAAAAACAAATAAAAAGGACCCTAAGGACTTAACACAAAAGGACCTAGGGACTAATCGGCAAAATACACAAAATATACCTAAACCTAGATTCTACATATAAAGGGATGCTTAAATAATAATAAAAAAGACCCCAAAGGAGGTCATCTTCTTCAGCACCTAAAACCTAGGGACTAAAGGTGGAGCGCCGAAAAACCAAAAAAACGAACGATCCATGAATCGTCTTCTTCAACCTTTCAGCTGCTGAACAAAAAACGACTCTCCCGCGTCGATCTTCTTCTCTAACACATCCATTTCATCTTCTTCGAAAAATAAGGGAGTAGCCATGAGAAGAGAACCTTAGACCCTTCCAGCCATTCCACCTTCTGAAAAAGAGCAGCAATCGAAAACACAGAGAACATTTCTCGGTGTGAGATTCTTCTCTTTGACATTTCAAGACCCCTTTGCTTCTTCTTCTACAGGCCGAAACCAACGACCTCCATTAGAGAGAACACAAACGTCCACTACGCCTCTTCAATACCAGCGACCAAACCAGCTCTTTCACCACCAGGGCTGGCCGGGAATCCAGTGACAACTTTCAAGCTCTAGAGCTAACGAACAAAGGCGCTGAAAAAAGTGAGAAGTCGCAAAACTCGTTTAACGCCCTTTTCCGATGAGTCTCGAGTTTTCTGGTTGAGCTTAGATGATTGAGTTTCGACAACCGTTTCATTAGTTTCTTGTCGAGGTCCGTTCGTTAGTTCTGTTTTAGTTCAAAGGTCTGATAGCTGTTCTTGCTAATGTTATAGTTTTGGACGTCGTCTTCTCCATTGTAATTCCAGTTGATGCTTTAATCTATTGCAGTTGTTGCCCATTAGAGGTCACACTTTGAACTTCATTCTTCTTCCTATTTTGCAGAATTTGTGTCATGAATACTTGAATCATTTGTGTGATTTCTCTTATGAGTTTACTTTCAATGGTCATGCCATGTATTTCGTTTTTTAGGGAAAATATCAGTAATTGCATCGGAATATTGGTTAATCTGTTTGGTTTCACACAATGTATACTTCGACTTTAAGCTTCAAATTTTGAAGATTAACAACGAAGTGAGCAGGTGACCCATAATGAGTCGGAGGTGCTATTTTTACAAAACTATTACAACTTAGTAATTTTGTAACGATTGGAGTTGTATATTATTTAGATCTTGCTTGTTGACGTGATTTTGGATCGTTAGAAGTATGCATAGGCGGTTAATATTCATAAATATCGTAGTTTACTTTAGGCATGTAATTAAATAATTGTCATGGCTACTGGTACGGTTCCCGTGACGTGGTCGTGATGCCTAATTTCTAAAAATCTCGGGTGTGCATTTATGTGACCCAAATCCAAATCTCAACAATATTAGATAAAATATATCGGGGACCGCGGGTGCATTTATGTGACGTGGTTCAAGACATGTTTTAAATAACGTTGAAATCTTCTTAATATTAAATAAAAGCGGTTATAAAGTTAAAGTTACACCATAGGCTAAAACATGTATTAAAAATCAGATAATAGGCCAATTATAATAGTTGAGAGACTGTGCTAGAACCATGAAATCCGGGAATGCCTAACACCTTCTCCCGGGTTAACAGAATTCCTTACCCGAATTTCTAGTTCGCGGACTGTAATACAGAGTCAATCTTTTCCTCGATTCGGGATTCTAAACCGGTGACTTGGGACACTATAAATTATCCCAAGTGGCGACTCTAATTTTTTAATAAAATGATCCCATTTCGATTGTCACTTTAAGTTGGAAAAAACTCCCTTATATATACCCTTTCCAGGGGGTGTAGGTAAAAATGAGGTGTGACACTAGTTTTTCTGTTTCCAAAAGGAATTCACATTCCAGTCCTAGTTTTAATTCTTGTTTTGTGTTTTCTGATCCAAATGTAAAAGAAAAGCTATGGCACTATAGATTAGGCCATATGCCATTGAGTAATATGAAGAACATTTTATCAGACTATATTCCAAAGTGTTCTGTGTTTTCTACTCTTTGTACTATTTATCCTATGGCAAGACAGACAAAGTTACATTTTCCTTTAAGCACCATTTCTACCAAGAAAGTATTTGACATGATACATGTGGATACCTGAGGACCTTATAGCAGCCCTACTCATGATGGTTTTAGTTATTTCCTTACCATAGTTGATGATTTTAGCAGAGACACTTGGACCTACTTGTTAAGTACAAAGTCTAATGCTTTCACCACTTTAAAATCTTTTTTAACAATGGTAGAAAGACAATTTCATACTAAGGTAAAAGTTATAAGGTCTGACAATGCCTTTGAGTTAGGAAATGGTAAGCTGCAATCAGAATTCTTTCTATCCCAGGGTATTATTCACCAAACCAGTTGTGTCCACACTCCTCAACAAAATGGAGTGGTGGAAAGAAAGCATAAACACCTACTAGAGATTTCTAGGGCCCTATTATTTCAGTAACATTTGCCTAATGCCTATTGGGGGGATTGTCTACTCACTGCCACTTTCTTAATCAATAGATTTCCTTCAAGGATTTTGCATTCTAAAACACCTTATGAGATTCTATTTAAGTCCAAACCAGACTATTCATTTTTGAGGTATTTTGGTTGTTTGTATTTTGATTCTACTACCCCATACCACAGAACTAAATTTGATCCAAGGGCAGTTGCTTGTGTATTCTTAGGGCATCCATATGGTAAGAAGAGATACAAGGTGCTTGACCTTAAAACTATGAGAACTTTCATTTCCAGGGATGTAGTTTTTCATGAGAAATTCTACCCATTTGCTTCTATTTCACACTCTTCTTCTACACCTACCCTACTTGCAACTCACTTGTCTTCTTCATATATACCACTCCCTGATACATCCTCTTCTCACCTTCATAGCACCATATCTCCAGGATCTACACCTTCTCACCCTACTCCTGCTCCATCCCCCCTTACTATCCCAGTCTCAGCACCTCTTCCTTCTAGACATAGTTCAAGTCCCTCTCCTCAGTCCAGCAGTCCTCCACCTCTCTTTTTTTCTCCTAGAACTAAACCTATGACGGAGAATCTAATCAGAAAGTCTTCTAGACCTCACATCACTCAAGCTTATCTCAAAGATTATATCTGCAATGCCTTGCAACTCACAGATGTGAGCAGCTCTTGCTTTCTCACACCTGTTACTCCTTCTTCTATTTCCTTTAGTGGTCTATCTTGTGATAACTAACATATACTTAACTCCCTTTCAAATATACAAGAACCTGTCTTTTTTACACAGGCTGCACATCATCCAGGATGGCAGGAGGAAATGGCAAAGGAGATTGAGGCACTAGAACACAATCAAACCTGGGAAGTGGTAGAATTACCACAAGGAAGGAAAGCTTTGCCATGCAAGTGGGTTTATATAGTTAAGCAGCATTCTGATGGGATAGTGGAGAGATTGAAAGCAAGGTTAGTGATAAGGGGGGACATCCAGAAGGAAGGCATTGATTTTACTGAGACCTACTCACCGGTTGTTAAAATGACCACAATTAGGTGTATTTTAGCTACTGCTGTTAAAAAGGGATGGGGCCTTTATCAGTTGGACATAAATAATGTTTTTTATACGGTGATTTACATGAAAAAGTCTATATGAGGTTTCCTGCTGGACTTATACCACCCTCTCCTAATCATGTTTGTAGACTAAGGAAATCCCTTTATGGGCTTCGTCAGGCTTCACGACAGTAGTATGCTAAACTTACCATAACTCTAAATTTTAAGGGATTCACTCATTCCATGAATGATTATTCACTTTTCTTCAAAAAGACAAGATCATCTATTTCTATAGTTGCAGTTTATATCAATGACATTCTTTTAACAGGAAATGATAATACAGAATTACATGCCCTAAAGGATTTCTTACATCAAGAGTTTAAAATTAAGACCTTGGAGACTTACATTTCTTTTTAGGCATGGAAGTGATCAGAGAACCTGAAGGCTTGATTCTCTCTCAACAGAAGTTCACTTTAGATCTACTACAGGAATTTGACTCTTTGAATTTGAGTCTTGTCTCCTCTCCTCTTGCCTCTTCTATGCATTTGTTGGCCAAAATAGGGGATCCTGTCAAAGACCCGACTTTGTACAGACATTTGCTGAGGAAACTCAATTACCTTACTCATACCAGACCGGATTTGTCCTTCACAGTGCAATACTTAAGTCAGTACATGCAAGACCTCAGATAGCCTCATTTTGATGTAGCACTTAGGGTGCTTCGATATCTCTTGAAAGATCCCGGTCTTGACTTATTTATGTCTGCTTCAACTTCTTTTCAGCTACTCACCTTTTGTGACTCTGATTGGGGGACTTGCCCGGAATCTCGCCGGTCAGTGAGTGGATTTTATATCTCCTTAGGTATCTCCCCTATTTCCTGGAAGTTCAAGAAGAAGTCTTCCATCTCTCTCAGTTCTGTTGAAGCCGAATATCGTTCTATGCGGCGTGTTGTCACCGAACTCACTTGGTTGGTCCGCCTCTTCGAAAGATCTCTTCATACCCATTTCTTTGCTCGTTCCCCTTCACTCAGATAGCCAAGCTGCCCTCTACATTGCAAAAAATCCGATCTTCCATGAACGGACAAAACACGTTGAAATTGATTGTCATTTTGTGCGACAACAATTTCTTCCTGGGCTAATTTCTCTCTTTTTTGTTCGTTCTAGTTCTCAGCTTGCCGATCTCTTCACTAAGCCTCTAACAGGCTCACTTCATCATCATCTACTGGGCAAGTTGGGTGTTCGTACCCCCCCTCCAACTTGAGGGGGAGTGTTGGTGTTAGTCGATTTCTAGAAGTTTCCGACAAAGAAAGTTGAGAGATGAAGTGTTTTAGGTTTTGGTCTATGTTCGATATTTCTCAGCCTTTGTATATGCATATTTGGACCGGGTTTTTGCTCTTTGATCTGTGGAGAATGTCACACCTCCTTTTTCCGACCCCGCGAAGGGCGAAGGAGTTTTTTCCAATTAAAGGACA